CCATTCAAAAAAACATGTAAGCCTCAAGAATAGCCTTAAAGTCTCAAAACAGCCTCAAAAAAATGAAACTTGCCAAAAACTTCAAGCAAAACGGAATTATGAACTGATTTTTTTTTTTTTTGAAAAAAATCGGTCCGAAAGCCACAAATTTGAACTACCATAAACTTGAAAATGCCCTTTTAATTGAATTTTTGAAGTTACTACTCAAGAAAAAGCAAAATGGGAGCCAAAAACAACAGAAAAAGCTAATAAAACCAGTTTTAAAAAAAATCTCAAGACACGTGTCAAAAGGCGCAGGAACTAGTGAAAGTTCAGAAAAAAAAATACATATTTTCAAGCATAACTTTTCCTAAAAAAACTTCAAATAGTTCTTTTAATTGGAACGAAAAAAGAAATAATTCAAAATATTCCATTACAGCAGAAAAAGCTGATTAAAACAGTTCTCGGGGATTAAAAAACCTCAAAACACAAGGCGCTCGGACTAATTAGAGCCCAAGAAAAGTACATATTTTTGAAATACCTTTCCAAAAAAATACTTCAGAAATCTTTTTAATTGATAGAGGAAAGAGGACAGTTCAAAAAAAGGTTATAAAAACTGTTCTCGGCTTGAAAAAAACCTCAAAAAAAGCATGTCAAAAGGCGCTCGAAAAAGTGCTAAAGCCCAAAAAAATAACATTTTTTTCAAGCATAACTTCACAAAAAAACCTTCAAAAAAAGTCCTTTTTTTCGAATTTATTTATTAATTAGTTTAAAAAAATAAATGATGGAAGAGTAAATTATAACAGAAAAAAAGCTAATAAAACCTGTTTTCTGGGCTCAACAGCCCTCAAAAGGCATGTCAAAAAGCCCTGGGACTACTGAGCGCCCAAAAAAAGCACATATTTTTTTAGACAAAACTTTTCAAAAAAACTTTAAAAATCCTTTAAATTGATATTTTTTTAAATTTAATCATTTTATTTTCGCAATATCGGGGTGGTATGGTGATATTTAAAAAGATAACATAAAAAAAATAAAAAAGAAAAAAACCTGTTCTTGGGGCTTGAAAAACCTCAAAACTGGTGTCAAAAAGGCGCTGGGACTAGTGAGAGCCCAAAAAAATTACATATTTTTAGACATAACTTCTCAAAAAAAAGCTTTAAGAAGTCCTTTTTGGAATTTATAGATTAATTAATTTAAAAAACAATGATGGAAGAGTAGATTATAACAGAAAAAGCTAATAAAAACTGTTCTCGAAGCTTGAAAAACCTCAAAAAAACTTCACTTCTTAAAAACTTCAACAACATTTTTTTAATTGATGTTCCTACGAGAATAGTTCACGAAAGGCTGATAAAAACAGTTCTCGGCGCTTAAAAATCATCAAAACCCGTGTCAAAAGGCGCTGGGACTAGTGAGAGCCCAAAAAAAAATTACATATTTTCAAGGCATAACTTTTTCGAATCGGAGAAATTTGACGAAAAAAGGCGCCCCGCCGTGTCTTGTTTTGCCTGTGTGTGAGTGAGTGAGTGTGTGTGAAAGGAAATCGAATTTTTCGACCAGTAAATATACAATTTTTCGAGAAAGAAAAGATCATGTAAAGTATGGGGGAGGGCAACACGTTTTGTCGTCGTGTTGAGAATCGGATCCGAGATATGAGCCGCGCATCTGTTTCCGAGCGTTTTCCCGTTAAAATGGCTCATTTCGAACCGCCGCCAATGTTTTTGGCATTCATTACTCGCACTCTCCGGGCCCCCTCCACAGAGAAACTTTTTCCGCACGTTTGGTTTTTTGTTTATTTGTTTGTTGGAATTTTGTTCGATGGTTTCTTTTTTTTAGGCTTACGAAAATCGAAGCTGATGATGTATAGATGGAAGTATATTTGCCAAAAAAATATATATACTCCAAAAAAAGCTTGAAAACCTTCCGTTTTTCCGACATCCTTGGGGAAAAATGATTCAAAGTAAAACTATTTTAAGGCCTAAAACCGTTTTGAGCCTTTCCATGAACGTTTAAAAAAAAGTTGGACAAAATTATTTGATAATATAATGAGGAGAGGGATATTAAAAAGCTATCTTGATTAATAAAAAAATATAAAAAAATTTGAAGGCTGAACTTTTTTTCAGTGAAAATTCAGAGCTGTACGACCTTAGAAGGCGAATTTTAAGGAATAGAAATTCGAAAATACATTATAACTGATAAAAAGACTTGAAAAAAATCGGAAAAATTTTTTTAAAAAAATCATCTCTGGAACTTCATGGAAAAGCTATTTTTTTGAAAAAAATTCTCCTCAAAAATAAAAAAATTAAAATCTGTTGAAATAAAGCTTTTTTTAGGGCTTTGAGCCTTCATTTTTTTCGAAAACTGGGAAGTTGGGCAGTTTGGGACCTTCAGAATCTTCTTGAGGTACATCAAGGAGTATTCTGGCGAAATTTTAGAGAAATCCCTGATGACAAGGTAAAATGACCTTCCTTGTTGGAACGCATTTTTTTGGACGTATAAAATTTCGAAAAAAACTCTAGATGATAAAAAAATTGGGAAAGGCGGAAAATTGTGGTAAACATCTTTAAAACTTTAAGATTATGGAAAAAAATATAGAAAAAAATACAGAAAAACTGTCAAAAAAACTGAAAATTGTGATAATCCTCTCTGTAACTTCAAGATCATGGAAAAAGTATCAAAAAAATAAAAAAAATTGTCAAATAAGGGAAAAATTGAGAAAACCGTCTGTTTAACTTCAAGATTATGGAAAAATATCAGAAGTTTAAAAATTTTCAAAAAACTGAAAACCGTCAAAACCGTCTCTGGAACTTTGAGATTATGGAAAAAGTATCAAAAAAATCAAAAAATTGTCAAATAAGGGAAAAATTGAGAAAACCTTCTCTGGAAATTCAAGATTATGGAAGAAGTATCAAAATATTTTTTAAAAAAAAATGTCAAAAAAGGGAAAAATTGTAAAAATTAACTCTGTAACTTTAAGAGAAAACCGTCTGTTTAACTTCAAGATTATGGTAAAATATCAGAAGTTTAAAAATTTTCAAAAAACTGAAAACCGTCAAAACCGTCTCTGGAACTTTGAGATTATGGAAAAAAAGTATCAAAACATAAAAAAATGTCAAAAAAAGGGAAAAAAATTGTGAAAACGAAATCTGTAACTTCAAGATCATGGAAGATTATCAAAAAAACCAAATATTTGTCAAAAAACAAAAAAATTGTGAAAAATCCTCTCTGGAGCTTCAATATTATGGAAAAATATCAAAAAAGAAAAAATTTTCAAAACGGGGAGAATTTGTGAAAATTAACTCTATAACTTCAAGATTATGGAAAAAGATCAGAAATTCAAAAAATTGTCAAAGAACAAAAAATGTCGAAAAACGGAAAAATTGTGAAAACCTTCTATGGAACTTCAATATTATGGAAAAACATCAGAAATTCAAAAAATTGTCAAAAATCCAATCGATGGGGATGCGAGTAGATCTGCGTGCCACCGAGCACAAGAGACGAAAAAAAAAGGAACTGACTGGCAAATATAAAGTCTTGTTTGTTCAAATCTCGAACCCTCCCCGCGCTACCCCGCGTTTTTTATACATATCTTCAAAATAGTGTTTTTCTCACCTCTCACTTTTTTCCCCTTGTTATTCAAATGCACGTGGAGAGATTTTCGAATTAAAAAAAAATAATATTTTCTCAGCTGTCCTATACTTGGAAACGACTCTAGAGTTCATTGCAACTTTTTTTAAATATTTTTCAGGAAAATTAGAAAAAAACCAACATTTTTCCGAATTTGTCGACGTTCCCTTTGATGTTGTGGTCCATTATGGCGAGCGAAGAAAACGACGATGTTTGAAATGAAAACGGAAAATTATAGCTACTTTTTCGATTTTTTTGCCTATAATTAATGTTGTAACGTCATTGTTTACTACTATTTTCGAATATTGAAAAAAAAACAACTTTTATAAAGAAGTATTTTAGAATGAAATTTGTATTTTGAAAGTTTATATGAAATCATTTTCGATTTTCCATAGCTTATTTTAACAAAATTATTCTTCACATACTTGAAAAAAATGTTTAAAAAATGAATCTTTTAAGCAAAGCAAAGTCAATTTTGAAAATATGAACATAGGCTCAAGGCCAATGAAAAAAACAATAACGATAAAATTTGAACAGGAAAAAAATTTATTAAAAAGTAAAAAAATGACGCAGAAAATATAAATAACAAACAAAAAAATAACAATATTAAAACAATAAAAAAATAACAAAAAAATATCCCGACAACAACTTTAGCCAAACTTAAACGAAAAAAACGGAGAGTACAAAAAAAAAAAAAATAAAGAAGTCCTCAAGTTGGAAGGAAAATCAGTTATTAACAATCAACTTTTAAGAAAAACGAGAACAAAAAAATGTTAGAAAAAAATAGAAATCGAAATTTTCAAGTTCTTAACATCAAAAGTGGCACAGAAACTGGACTCCGTATTGAAAAAACTGAGAGTCAAAGGAAAAAAACGTTGAGAATCAACATAAAATGAGAAAAAAATTCAACGAAACCAAGGGGAAAGAAATCATGAAAAAAATCAAAGTTATTCAAAAAAAGCTACGAAAAATCAAAATCATCGAGAAAAAAACGCTGAAACCATAAAAAAATTGAAAAATCTAATGATAAATTATATATATATATATATATATGTGTGTCAAGATCAGAGTAGTGCTCTGGGCCAGCCGGGCTGGCCACAGTATTGCAACGCGGTCGCGAAGCGGTCGAAAATTTGCCACTTTTCGAACTTTTTTCTCTCGAAACTTTCATAGAACGTTTAAATGGGGGAGTGAGTGATCGAAAACATGTTATTAAGAAAAATTATGTAATCTAAATCATGAAATGAAAGATAAAAATTCGCTATTGCCACGATTGTGGGCCGATTCGGCCACTAACCTCGGCCCAACGCACAGCTCTGGTCAAGATGCAAAAAACAAGAAAAAGTTTGTATCAAACATATAAAAATTAGAATAGAAACAGGAAGGTCAGACATTAGTCAGCTCTCTTGCCAGTACTCATGCCGAGTCCACTCTCCTAAACACTTTCTGAAATACTTATTTTTCGAGTTCAAAATGTTCCATATGATCAATATTTTCTCAAATTTTGCTTCTCAGTTAAATCTATCAAACTAAAACAATTCAAAGAAAATTTTTTTTGAACCTAAAAATCAGAATATTTACTCAATTATCTGCACAGATTTCGAATTTAATGCCGTGTTCAGAAAATTATCTCTGACTCTCCAAAATTTAGTTATCTCTTTCTTTCTTTCACGGCTATTCTGAATTTTGCGAAATCCACTCAAGACCTGGAATGGCTATAATGCTAGAAGAACGTCGTTACAAAAACCCCAAAAATTAACACTACTGGGAAAATTTTAGTGGCCACTATAGGGTTTTGACGTTTTAGTGGCCACTCTAGTTGTCAAATTAGTGGCTTGTTAAGGGGTTAAACATTAGGGACCACTATAGAAGTCTAAGTGCTACTAGACCACTAAAAATTTTAGTGGCCACTTCAGGGGTCAATGGATCAACATAACTGGTCCAATCTGTTTGTTTTTAAATTATCAGAGTTACTGTAAGGAGTACTGGAACTACTGAAGTGGCCACTAAAACGGAAAACAGAGGCCCCTATCGAGGTGGGTTTAGTGGTCACTACAGTGTCCTCTCCAAGTAGCGCTTGACGAGCCTCTTTAGTGGCCACTAAAAACTTTCCCAGCCAGATAAAAAACCACTATAGTGACCACTAAGACGCAAGATAGGGGTGTTTAGTGTCCAACTATCCCTTGAGGAACCTCTTAAGTGGCCACTAAAGATTCAACAAGATTTATAGTGAACCATGTCGCATTCGAAGCAAACTTCGAGGGTCCTTATCAGCGTATTGTACATCTGGGCCTCCGTTTGGCACGGCGCCCATGGATAAACGACTTCTTTCTGAAAAATCCGTTCGAAATTTCCTTCAACATCGAAAATTCAAAAAAGGATTTTTTTTTTCCCGAGTTTCAGGCTAAAAATCAAGCAAATAATTCAAAAAGAGAAAGAAAAACTGTCGAATGTGGAAAACCTTGAGATTATATACCAAACTTCTCGTAGATTTCAGGATTTTTTTCGAAAACGAAAGAAAATGATATTTATAAGATAAAAATCTGTTATTTCAAATTAGTATGAGTATATTTTAAATACCAACTCGACAAGGAAGGTAATTTACTCAAAACGTGAATTTTTCCGTAAATTCTCGACATACCAAATGAAAATCCTCTCAACCTAGCCAACTTACTAATTTTCGAAAAAGGGAAGCTCAAACTCTTAAAAAAGTGAATAAATCCGGCTTTTGATTATTTTCTTGAAAAAATGAGGCTTCTCTCGAAAAATAGCAAAATTTTCAGCCTGATAGTTATGGGATCCGTGTTTGGTACATCAAAGATTATTCTGACCAAACTTCCGAATTTTCCAACTTAAAAGTGAAAAATTAACTTTTTTGTTAGAAGGAGCTTTCGAGAAGTTTCTATTAACATCTAAAGGATTTACAAAAATCCTCCTTTTGAAAAATTTCGATGTGTATTCCTAAACTTTGCCATTTTTGGTATTTTATTTTTTTCAATGATCCTCAAATCAATCTAAACTCGCCTTGGAAGGAAACCATTTCGCTATGAAAGTTCCCGGTTTGTAAATTTTTGGCCTCCACCTGAAACTGATTCATTAAAAATACTTACCAGGAAGAAAAAAAGTTCAAAAAAAGTCGGGCACAAATTCAAATTGTTTATTAAAAATTCAAAAAAAGTCGCACAAAAAAATCAAATTTTTTTAGAAAAACTAGCTAAAAACTTCTTTGAAAAAAACTTTTTAAATAATGTAATTTTTATTGTTTTACAATGTAAAGTATCTATTTACTGATGTTTCAATCAATTCCAACCCACCAGACTACAATGAAAAACGCCACGAATCCGGCAAACTGTACTGAATCAACATAATCAACCGTCTATGCCCTTCAATGTCGGCCTGAAAACGGTTCTCCTTTTTTTCAAAAATAAAGTATTAATTGCTTTTTGAAATTTATCAGTCAAAATAAGATCTCAAAAAAAAAAAATCTCTTTTTGAAGATAAATTAATGAATCTTGCTGTTTTGGGGATTTTTTTCTGAACTATTTTTAGTGAAATAAAAAAATTATTCATAGTTTTTTTATCTTCTACATAAGCATAGTTCCCCAGTTTTTTAATTTTTAAAAGTAAAATTTTCCAATCCTTCAAATTCTCTTCCCTCTTTATTTTTTTCAAACTTCGTAGACCAACCCCTTATTTGAGACTAACAGATCTCTCTACTTGCCCAGTTATTTTCCAAAACCCTTTATCTTTGACTATCACCATGCTTCTCCCCTTTTCATCGACACAATACTTTTTCTTGTTCGAAATCCCTCATGAAACTCCTAACCAAGATCCTGGAATCCCTCGAGTTGAAGTTCTTCCGGAGCTTCTGGAGGAGGATTTCGACCTGCCGGTCCTCTTCCTGGGCTTCTTCGCCGGCTTTCTGCTTTTTTTCCTTTCCGGCTTCCTGGAGTCCCATGTCGGCGAGTTTCTGGATCAGCGACTCCTTGGAGAGCATCTTCGACTTCTTCGACGATTCTTGGAACGTTTCGGAGCACTTGGCCCGCAGGTCTAGATAACTCCGACTCTGTTCGTTCAGCACCAGTACGACCATGTGGACCCACTCGTGGAGTCGCTGGTACAGTTCCTGAAACATGATCTTCGAATGATCATGGGGGCAACCATTTATTTTTTTTCCCAAACTTTTTCTTTGAAAACCAAATTCTCTGAGTTTTTTTTTTCATCTTTTTTTTCATTTTTAAATGATTCCGCTATAATGAATTTCTTTCCAACATTATGAAGTTTGATGGGTTTGTCCTTAATGAAAGCTTATAACGTATTATAACCCGGTTTTGAAATAATTCAACGTTTAGCGTTTTTCTAGAATTTTTTCTTCAATATTTGCGCACAGGCAAGTTTGAAGCATACTTAGGAGCTCTAAACTACTTCACTGACCCCTATAGGGGACCACTAAATCTTGCATAAGTGTTCACTATAGGGTTTTTAGTTAGTGACCCCTATAGAGGACATTTCAGTCAATTATTGTTAGAAAAGAAGAAGCATTTCCATACCAAAAATTCAATAAATAAGCTTTTCTTGAATGAAAAGATATCAAAGAAAGATATTTTGATAAAGTTTTCCTTTTTTTATGCCGTGTTCAATTTGATTCCGAACGAAATATGCAAAATACCCCGTTAGAGAAAAGGACAAAGATCACTAAATTGTGGCTAAGAGATCAGAGTTCTTATTCCCTACAGGGACTACTTGATCTTTAGGGGTTGAGCATCAGACTCTACACCCCTCTAGGGACCACTAAATACAGGGCTAAGAATTAGACCCCTACCCCTAGGGACCACAAAACGCAGGGCTAAGGGATCAGGTTCTTATTCCCTACAGGGACTACTTGATCTTTAGGGGTTGAGCGATCAGACCCTACACCCCTCTAGGGACCACTAAATACAGGGCTAAGGAAGTAGACCCTACAACCCCTAGGGACCACAAAACGCAGGGCTAAGGGATCAGGTTCTTATTCCCTACAGGGACTACTTGATCTTTAGGGGTTGAGCGATCAGACCCTACACCCCTCTAGGGACCACTAAATACAGGGCTAAGGAATTAGACCCTACAACCCCTAGGGACCACAAAACGCAGGGCTAAGGGATCAGGTTCTTATTCCCTACAGGGACTACTTGATCTTTAGGGGTTGAGCGATCAGACCCCTACACCCCTCTAGGGACCACTAAATACAGGGCTAAGGAATTAGACCCTACAACCCCTAGGGACCACAAAACGCAGGGCTAAGGGATCAGGTTCTTATTCCCTACAGGGACTACTTGATCTTTAGGGGTTGAGCGATCAGACCCTACACCCCTCTAGGGACCACAAACGGCAGGGCTAAGGGATCAGACTCTTAACCCCTATAGGGACCACTTGGCCTTTTAAGGCTGAGGGATCAGACCCTAAACCCCTACAGGGACTACTTGATATCTAGTGGCTAAGGGATTAGACCCTACACCCCTCTAGGGACCACTAGATCTAATGGGGCTAAAGGCTTATATCCTAAACTCTTAAAAAGGGCGTCCTGAAATTTACCACTATAGTGACCAATTTTCCGGACTGTTTTTTCCCTTAACCCCTGAAGGGACCACTAAGTATAAGCTCATAAAATTTACCAAGATAATAAAAATACTCAAATCCTTAACATGATTCTCAACTACGAAAAATCAACTACGAAAAAATTCAACCCGTTTTTCGCGACTTGAAAGGGCGGGACTTCTCTGCTCCCTCCTAGTTTCTCGACGACCCTCTCATGTTCACGTGCTGTTTCCATTTTTCTCTGACCTCACGGGTGAGGGAACAGAGAGACGCAGACGCGCAAGAACTGTCAAGTCGCGGGGGATGGACTATACAAATTTTTTTTTTCAGACTCACATTCTCATCGGTCCGGCTGGCAACACACTTGATGCCAACCTCGCTGAGCCATCTCAAGAGGCACCTTTCCCGCAAAAGCTCCGACCGGTACTCCATCGAGGCCATCGAATCCTGTTCGACCAGCCAATTGCGCACCGGATAGGCCTTCAGAATCAGATCGAGCCTCGCGTCGAGTTGCTTCTTCTCCTCGGCCAATTTCTCAAGGTCCAGCTCCTGTCGAAGTCTCGCCTTTTTGGCTGGAACTCCCTCTAGCTTGTTCATTTCATCGATCTGTTTGGCAACGGCCTCCACGCCGCTCAGCTTGATCAACTGCTGGTTGTACTCGGCCTGAAACTCAGAAA